TCAGCAGCATGTTATATACCTCGGCGTGTTTCCAAACACGGACGTGTAGGAAGCAAACAGCACGCTTTGAAGCAAAAGATTTGACTTGGTCAAACCTAGGCAAAACACTTGTGTTTTTTACATCCTAGGCTGGAGCACTATAGTTTAGTAAAAAGATTGTTTTGTTTTGCTGTAGCTGAGGTTTTTCCTGTATTAAAATGTTTAACTTGGAAGTGGGTTCTGGGATCACAGAATTGGGGAATGGTTTGGGTTGGAAGGGATCTTCAAAGATCAGCTGGAGCAACCCCCCAGCCATGGGCAGTGACATCTTTCACTAGGTCAGGCTTCCCAAAGCCCTGTCCAGCTTGACTTTGAATGCTTCCAGGGATGGGGCATCTGCAACTTCTCTGGGCAACCTGTGCCACTGTCTCACCACCCTCATCCTAACAAATGCCCTCCTTCTGTCCAGCCTAAATCTACCCTCTTTCAGTTTAAAACTGCTGCCCCTTCTCCTTGGTGAAAGGTCTGTCCTCATCTTTCTTACAAGCCCCCTTTAAGTACTGGCAGGCTGCAATAAGGTCTCCCTGGAGCCTTCTCTTCTCCAGGCTGAACAACCCCAACTCTCTCAGCCTGTCCTCATCAGAGAGGAGGTAAACTTGCAGCTGAGAGAAGGTTTGAATAAGGCTGTTCCCATCCATGCCATGCGCTGGGTTAACTCACCAGGTGAAATCCTCTGGCTGCTGCAAGTATTCCATGTGTTTGCATGTGCGAACATCCTCCCCTTCTCAAACAGCAATTACGCAGGTTTGAGTACACAGACCTGAAGCACATGATGTACGCAAAGTACAGAAGTTCAAGTCTTGGCACCTTGTGGGATTTTGTGGTTGGTTTGTTTTTTCCTGCACCGTGCCTGTGCGTGCAACTCAATGCAGTGCTGATACCGCGCTGAACAAGCTTGTTAAGAACAGCTTACGTGAGTCAGAGAAAGCAAAGCAACTGTCGGAGGAAGACCTATCTGCTAAAGTTTTGCATACAAAAAAAAATTAGCTGCGTAGGAAGATTAGGCAATGTATCAGCCATGAAAATCCAAATAGTTTGCTGCTGTTGTTGACGTAATTGGTTTTTACAAAGTTGTATAACCTCCACTTGAATTCTCTTAAAACACTGAATGCGCTGCATTGCCGGAGTTGCATGCTGTAGAAATCACAAGTGATAACTGTGACCGACCCATGACCACTGATGTCTAGCAATACCTGGAAGAGGTAAATTGCTGATTCTTGGGTGTTTGTTCCTGTAATTTAAAAGAATTGGCGAACATGGAATAGATTTGGCTCATGTTGACCACAATGTTTTCAATTTTAAGTAGTTTATTTAGCTGAAACAAATACTGGTGTGATTAGTTTGTTTGGGGGCCGCCTTCCAGAGCTACAGCATGGCCAGAGAGCTCATGTCAGGCTCAGGTAATTTCTCTGTTTATGGATATATCTAATTATATGTACAACTAATCTAGGTTAGACAGTGTGCTAGCTAAGAACTTATTACTTAGCTTATACTTAATATTTTTTGTGGAGGTAACATTTGTCAAGTTTTGTTCACATTGGTTTCCTGAACACTGTAGAGCATGAATAGTACGTTGCTTTAATCTGCAACGTCGCAATTTATTGGCTTAAATAGTTCTTCCTAAAAACAGATGAAATAAATAGTTTCAGTAGTTCAGCTTAAACAAGCAGTTTTAGAATCACAGCTTCCCTCTTGGATCTTTTTAGGTGCTATGTAATAAGCCAGCGTATTCCTGGTTGAAGAGTTTGAATTTCAGTGGAAGGAGCTTTCTGGTAGTGCTTTTTTAATTCCTTACATGCAAACAAAGATACTCAACAGAGCAGTCCAGAAGCACTGTATAGAAAAACACCATTTACAAAATGGAAATCATCAACAAATAGAGGTGTAGAAAAAAACCAAGTTTTATTTATGGTACAGTGAGGATGGAATGTAATTACAAAAGCCAAGAAGCACCTGAAGCAGGAGTGAGGTGAACTGCTGAAAAATCAACTGTCGTTGCTATAAAAGTCTCTTCCATTTCAGTTTTAAGTGTTCGGGTATATAATCGGACTACGCAAGTAGGAAATTTGAAGCCAATCCTTTTTTCCCCTCCCTCTCTTGCAGTGGTGACAGACCTAACTTTGGGTTAAATTGCTTCTTTCTGCAGAAGGAAAGATCTAGCCATTCTGGCCATTTATCAAGCCTGGCATGCAATAACCTGGTTCTCTATGGGAAAAGATGGTGCCAAATAAATGCCTTGCTTCCTTCCCCTTTGCTTTTGCAAGGATAGGATGGCGTGCAGGTTGGGATGGCGGTCACCCCGTTGCCACGTGTCAGCTGCCAGGACAGAGTGCCTTCAGACAGACAGCGGGCAGGTCTGGAAGTTCTGCATTTGAAGGTCACGTGGCATCGAGCAACACGCTCTCCTCCAAAACCTACCCCAGGTGTGACAGCTGCTCCAACGGCACATGGTTAAAATCTGTTTGTGATGAGTAGCTTGGTTGCAGAGGGGAAAAGCTGCGATGTGAGAACCACTCGGTGCCGCTGCCGTGCGGGCAGTATGATGCAGGTGAATGCCCACAACACAGTGGAGCAAGAGACCTTTGTAATGATCCTTTGGCCTGGGGTATGTCTAGAAAAAAAATCATCAAGCTTGTAAAATAAAATGCTGATTTCCATCATAGAGTCTCCTAATCAGAACAGGAAGAGTTGCATTTTGTGGTTGCTATTTTTGGGAGGCCTGTGGGCTTCTCTGATATTGCCGAGGGTTAAAACATGGTGAGGCTTGAAAAAAAACAAATGCAATGAAAAGACGATTGTTTTGGGTGTGTTTGAAATGCCCAAGCATAAAATACTAAAATCAGAGTTAGGTTTCAGTGCTGGACATAAGCACTTTCCAGGTACATTTTCAGTATTTTGCAAGGGTTTAGCACTTTGATCACCCTGTGTTAATTTACGGAACTGCAGCTGTTAGTGTTTACTGTTGTGACAAATACAGTAAATAGCAAAGATACATATATTCTCTTAAAGTAAATGTAGTGGGTATCTGACCAAGGTAGCCATTTATTATTGAAGTTTTTCGGTGTTTCAAAGCTGCGAGTATTTGTATCATTTGGCAAATGACATAATGTTAGACTAGCAAAAAATGTATATATACTGTATAGTAGGAGAACACAGCACTAGATCTGTATGTTAGACTAATTTGTGTTACACTTAATTTGCTTTTACAGACACTTTTAAAAATTAAATCTCCGTTCAGCTTTTGAGGTAATAAGTTAAAAAAGCACCAACATGATTTATTCAAATGTCTAACCATCACGGAAAGCTTCACTGTATAAGAACTACATGACAAGCAGGTTCCTTATACTGTGAAAGACTTCTATAAATTTTTCATACAGACTTGACATCTGCTGATATGGCTTCGGATGAGTCCTGCCTTGAGCGTATCTGCTGAGGGCTTGCTTTGGAAGGGCTGGTCGATCGTGGTGAGCCAGAAGCTGTATTTATTTGCGAAGTAGTGACAGGTTCCGCGTGCGCCGTTGCATTCGATGAAAGGAGTCGCTCTGAAATCTTCCAGGCAGCTCCCAGGAGAAACCAGCGACTGTCCTCCACCTTCATCACCAGCAGCAGTGTGCTAAACGAGACAAGGAGGGCAGCGTTCAGAGTACAATGCTGACAGGCAATGCTGTCAAAAACTTACACGTGGGAAAAGAGAAAAACCCCTGGAATTGCTCCTAATTCTTATCTCCAGAGCAGAGTGTCGGCCAGTCCTGCAACTATGTAAGGCTTACAGGTTTGGCTATGCTTTAGCTATACAAAGCAGCTAGCTCATATGTTGATGCCACTTTAAAATCTTCTGACAAATATCTTTTCTTCACTGTTGGAAGTCTTAGAATTGGAGAATCATTTAGGTGGGAAGGGCCCACTGGAGGTGACTTCGGCCAGTCCCCTGCTCAAAGCAGGGCCGCCTCCGAAGTTGCCCTGAGCTGCTCCAGGGCACTGTCGGGTTGTTAATGCCTCCAAGGATGGAGTTTCCACCACCTCTCTGGGCAACCTATTCCTCGGTTTGATCACCCTCAACTGAGAAGAACTTTCCACCATATATCTAAATTAAATTTCCCTAATTATACAGTCTGTCTTACTCTGCATCACACATGAGGAGTACTGTGGAAACAAAATCAACTTCTATGCCAATAACTGGTTCCCTCTATGGCATATTCTTTGACAGCAAATTACACCAAAAGCATGCGTCTTCCACCACTCAGCTGTTGCCTTTGACACATACTGTGGTAATGAACTGAATGTTACTTCTCTTCTGTCAAAGGCATTGCTCACAAAATAGGCCTTTCCTCTGTCCCTTTAAGAGCTGTAGAGCTGCATTTTTAAGTGAAGCTGTTTAAATTTCTGCTAAAAACTGAAGGAATTTGCGATATAAAAGAAAGCAGCTGGAAAATAAAGTTGCTAAATAGTTTTGTAAATGTAGGAAGAAATCTGGGCGCATCCAACATGTATGCCTGCCTGTGTTTTAATAAACACCATACTATAAAAGTGCAAGCTGTAACTGGCTTGGTTTATGCTGCGAGAGGCCCACCGTGCCTGTATAAATGAGTAACAGAAGCGGTCACCTTTTAACAGAATAAAGAACTCTGATCTCTGGCTGGTGTTACACGTTGCTGAGGTTTAGATTGTTGTTTTTAAAAAAAACCCTGAAGCTGCAGCCTACCAGCTGTCTTACAAATTTGCAAGATTTGCTAAGCTGTGAAGTTCAGGAGCAAAACCCTTCTATAGCATCCCTCTACAAGAACAAGGCTGGTAAGAAGCAGCATAAGCTGTCACAGTTTTGAGGCCTTTGCAGTTGCAGCCGGGAAGTAAAAACTTAGTAAAGGTAGTAAAAACTGCACGTGCTATTTGAGGCCCGGCCTGGGAGCAGACCCGCTTGACAACCCCAGGACGAGCACGGCGCTCCTACGCTGCTAGAGTTCCTACTAGAGTGTGCAAGCTCCAACTCTACGCCTAGAACATCTCTTTTTGTATTGCCCACGGTCTTTTATCCTTCTGCGACGCTTAACGCCGCTCTACCTTTACAGGACGCATGATGGTGGAGTGCCCTTGCTACGTGAAATCTTACTGACTTCTACGGCTGTTTGGGCAGGAGTCCACGATGACTCCCTTCGTGACCGTACCTTACTCAGGGGAAGGAGGTGACAAATTTAAGGCAAGGAAGTAAAACAATATGTACTCTGAGATAACCAGGAGTGTGCTGTACTTCTTCCATAGTTGCCCGAGAAGCAAAAATGTGTACACCAAACACTTCATTTGCTCCAAGTGCTAGCTGGGAAAATGTGAACTCTTCTCACTGTGTGTTCCTTGGTGCTTGCCAGAGTTTGTCCTGGCAAAAAGTTCTTGCTAAGGTGACAACTTTGCTCTTAACAATGCTCAGTGTTTACACAAGGCTTTGCAAACATTTAGTTAATCCTTGGAATTCTTGTGAAGTAACTATGAGATTGGTATCGGGTCTTTTTATAGAAGCAAAAGAAAGGTCAAACATAGGGCTGGTCAAAAATTTGACCTGCCCTCTCAAAGCACTTTTTTCCTGTAACTAGATGAAAAATATCAGATTTCCCTTTACATTATTTTCTGAAAAATTTAAGTTTTTGGCTTTTGACAAACAAATGGTTTGTGGGTAAGATTGACTATTGTTCTTCTATGACCTTTTCTGCCAGAGAAATCTTCTTGTTTCTTCCCAACCCTGTTTACTTCAGCATTCAGTCCAGTCTTTACTGAGTTAACAACATGGGAATACAGTCGCAGGTTTTGATTCGCGGTGTACACCAAGTAAGTCAGAAAAATGAGCACCTGTCAGATCAATTCACTAACACATTCTAGCTGTTCTTTACTGTGTTAAGCCCTCCAGTGCTTACATGATCCCTCTGTACAGTCTTGCAAGAAAAGACCTTCAGTAGGTCTTCCACTGCACGCCTAATGCTAAGCTTTTCTCTAACATCCCATTTCCTAATGATATGACCACAAGATCTAAGAGATCCTATAAGTCATGGGACATACCGCTCAGCTCTTGTTGCCATTAAAGATACAACACTGAAGTTTAATTTTAGAAACAACAGGAGGCTGTCTCTCTTTCCAGACCAGGTGACAGACTTTGGCTTCTAAATCTTTGACCAAACATCAATGATTTTAAGTTTCCAAAAGAAGGGGAAACATTTTGGTTTTTTTTTTATTCCAGATCAGCTTCTTAATAGTCATATACATAAATAACTCCCAATCTCTAGCTTTGAAAGTGCTTTGTAGGCTACTGTTGCACCTCGGTGCAATTTTATTTGCTAATCTACAGCTGTCCCTGTGTTCTGCTCCAAAACACTATTTTCGATGTAAGTAAAGACTCCAGGTGCTAGTCTGACAAGAGGCAATTTTCTCTGCAAGTCACAAAAAATTTGTTTCTCCTCTTCTGCTTCATAGAAACTAGTTTTGTAGTTCCCTGGTTCCTCAGTATGATGCATGGTTTTGGTGTTGCTAGAACTAAAACAGAGCAGCCTTCCTAGTTTCTAAGACTCCAACTTAAAACCCAGTGCGACACAAATGTGAAAGTGGAGAACAAATACCATAAGGAAGGAATATCCGATCCACAAACTGCGCCAGCCTTCAGGGCAATGAGGAATAGTAGCTTCTTGGCTATGGACAGCAATTGCCACAGCTGGGGCCTCACAAACTGAGCAGCGACTGATATACGGCTTAATATCATCTTCTGCCACAGGCATCATTGGAAGAGGTGCTGTAGTTGAGAGCCAGTAGGATTTATCATTTCGACTTGCATAATAACAAATATCGCCAGGGTTACAGTAGAGGAATGGCATAGTACTAAAACGAGCCAAACATGAGCCGGCCAGCCCTGTTAAAAAAGAAGAAAAAAAGAAATGATGGCAATCGCACAAGACAATGCACGTTTTCAGTTTCCTGCTCCTTCCCAAGCACGTGTCAGTAAAACTCTGCGGCCCAGAATGTCTCGCTGGCTTTACAGGTCCCCTTGAACAACACTAACAGGAGCTCTCTCAGGGGCACTCTATGCATAGTTTTTATCTTCTCATTTTCGTGCTTCCTAAGCCTGTTTGCTGAAGTCCCAGCTTCCTCTAAGTTCTATTTATTTTTGGGTTTTGTTCTTTTCAGCCAGAGAGATGGAATTGAGGCTGCTGCCAGCAATACTTGCACGTACCTAGATCCTGGTTGTGTGCCTTCTCTTGTCCTTCAAAGTACAGTAGACTGTATCCACTCCAGAGTTTGTTCATGCCAACTGGGCACATTGGCTCTTGATCGGACTGGCTGTGCTTCACCAGCAGGTAGCCCATGCTCACGCTGCGACCCGGCATGCCTGGCAGCCCGGGGCTACCGGGGCGGCCTGGCTGACCTTAGAAGAGGGGAGAGAAAGAAAGAATACCACTCGGTTTGTTCTCCCACAAATGCTCTGATGCTAGCTGATTTTCCAGCTAAGCTGCTGATGAAGAAAGCTTAATTGCATGATGCCTCTTCTTATGATAAGTTATTGTTAAAAGGACTGTAGTTCTAGGAGTATAGCAGTTGCTTTTGGAATAGATTGGTGCTGGATCAGACTCCCTGGTTTCTACGATGATGTATTTCACTGTCAGAGCCAGGGAAACTCACATATAAGGTTCTGATGAATTTGAGCACACTTTGTACAATACAGGTGAACATATCTTTCCTTTAAAATAGATTAACCGATGGTTTTTGAATTGCTTGAATTTGCTTCATATGTTAAAAATATGCTCTGCAAATACCTTTTTCTCTGTGTACTTAGCTAATTAAGATAGTAGTTGTTCTGCTCTTTGATTAGATAAGGAAACAGGTATTTCTTTTACAAATAAATTCCCTTAAACATCATCTATCCAAATACCACCTACCCAACCATTCATTTCCATCAATGTAACTGTTAGTAAAACACTAGGTGGAAATACTTAAGAGAAAACCAATATAAAAATACACTCAGATCAAAACAAACTCACTCACATGAGTGAACTCACATCTACAGCTATCAAAACTTATTCTGAAAACATTGCTTTAAGATAGCTCTGTTAAAAGTCAGTTAGTTGTCTCGTGAAGAAACTGTGAAGACAGAAACTTTCTCTCTCCTCCCCGTCCAGTGATGTAGTAACTACAGAACAATTTATGGCAGTGAAAGAGGAAAGAGGGAAGAAGTGCTGTGTAACAACTCTTACCTTCAAATCCCACTGGACCCTGAAACCCTGTTGCTCCTTGTTCACCTCTGGAGCCGGGAGGAGCTGGAATGCCACCCCGGCCCTGGAGTCCTGGCTCTCCAGGTGAGCCTCTGAAACCTTGCACCAACAACGGTTATAAACACAGTGACTACAGAGATATCAAGATGCTACCCACTTTGTTAACATGTCCTCTACTTGCCTATGTTTGGTCCTATCTGCCAGGTTTACCAATTTACACTAAAGGCAAGATCCTATGATTCTTGCTCAGGCAAAGAGCACTGACTTCACTGGAGAAGGTCGATGGGATCAAGACTACATGCGCCCCACAATCCTAATCTTTCACTCTTGCTACCTCTACACATCTCTGATGAAGCTAGTAGCAAGAGTGTGTGATTCCTACCTGGATCTCCTGGTGGACCCCGAGGTCCCATATCTCCTGGGCTTCCTTGAGGTCCTATATTTCCACGGGGACCTGGTGAACCTTGCTCAGCAACCAGTCTTGGAGGAAGAGGGGGCAGCCCAGGAGAGCCTGGAGGGCCCTGAAAGCCTGTGATCAGAAGCAAGATGGGGCAGTCTGATTAAAAAAACCCCTGTGTTTTCCTTCATGTGCTTTCCACAGGTATGTTGCTGTTAGTTGGCTGCCTATATGAGAGAGGGACTGTGGTCTGCAACTCACCACCTGGGGTATAGCAGCTATATTTATTACACTGGGGGAACATGTGTGAGTCTAGGGATTGTCTTCTCTTGGACAGCACACAGATAAGCAGAAAGAAATGAATGATTGCTACTGCCCCATTTATGACACAGGAAGCTGTGAAGTTCCCCCAAAACAGCCAACAGCTCTCTGAGATGCAGCACCATCTTTTGCTGGGCTTTGGGAGACACAAATACATGATGGTGTAGATGGAGTGAAGGATTTAAAAAGTATTTCTAAATATCCAGTATGTCTACTCTAGAGGATTAGTCTAGATCAGGAATTATTCTTTTTTAACCCCAAAAGTGGCTCTGCTTTTGGAGTTGGCACTTCATACAAAATAAATTCATAAAGGCAAAAAGCTGACTACCCGTGTTAAATTCAGGCATCTGTCCATTGGAATTTGCCAGGGGTCACACAAAGTCATGCAGGTTGGAGAGCACTTCGGAGGTCATCTAGCCCAACCTCCTGCTCAAAGCAGGGCCTGTTAGATTAATTCTGTGGAGCTGCAAAATAAGTAGTAGTTCAGAAAGGAGTCATGCATTTGACTGCACTTACTCACCAGTTACTCCTCTATCCCCCTTGGGTCCGATAGGTCCCAAATCACCTGGAAATCCTACTGTGCCCATGAAGCCGATGACACCTTGTTCACCCTTACGACCTTTAATGCAAAATGACAGGTGGCATTATTGCATTTCAACACAGATCAAGTGAGGGCAAAAGTCATGTTATTAAAGCTGCTGTAGCATAGGGGGTTCCCCTGCCACTGGCCAAGATCAGCGTTCCCCATCCTTACCTTTTGGTCCAGGGTACCCGGGAACGCCAGGTCTCCCTGCAGACCCAGGATCACCTCTACTTCCTTTTGGGCCAATTTGTCCACTCACACCTGTTTGTCCACTTTCTCCTTTGCTTCCTGGTGCGGCTGGTATTCCAGGCTGTCCCTGTAGTCCTGGATAGCCTGTTTAGAGCACATATAGGTTGTCATCTGTTCATACTTAAGACCTAGGCACAGGGAAAAATAACAGTACTATCTAATTGTATCCCATCAAGTTTTATTTCCTTAGTTTAAGTGGGGAGCTAATGCTTAGCTCCCCAATAGACTTATTCAGCACTCCTGCTCTCAGGCTGGCATACCCTTCTGCTGTGGTGGCAGAGGAATTGGAGCATGAAGATCCCACAAACCACAGTGTCATCTCAAGCAAGATTTCAGCAGAAGTGGGGTGCCTGCTGAGATACAGCCTAAAATGATCTAATCCTTCCCCAGAAAATGCCTCACTTCACTAGGTGCCTCCCTGCTTCCTCCTAAATTCTCCAAATAACTAGAGTGAAATCGGAGAGCAGCAAGTACCTGACTCAGTGCCAGGTGGTAAATAAGCCAAGGACTTACTGTTCCGTGTATCTTATTGCTTCAGTTGAACATCTGGATACAAATAACTACTTCATGCTGTCTTGGGAATTATGGGAACAGCTTCTTTTTCCAGAATTACATATTGCCTAAAGCTAAACCTGGCAGGGTCCTCTTCAGTTACCTCTGCTGCCTAAGATGACATTTGGACCGTGTTTGTGAGGAGAGAGGGACTTATTAACTAGGGTTTTGAGTGGGGCATCTCTCATGCTGCCTGTTGAAGCTGTATCACGTGTGGATACAAATGCAAGATGCATGTGGCAAAGTTAGAGCAAGCCACGCCTGTCTCACCATTTTGGCTGGGAGATGATGTTCCTGTTCCCACTCTCCTGACTCCAATGACTGCCTGGGGAGTGGGCATCAGTGTGCAGAGTTAGGTCAACTAACATTCTCTTTCCATTTGGAAACCTAGGTATTTTGTTGGTTTTCAGCTCATCTGCCAGTTGCAAGTTTTTGCTGAGTTTACATTAAAATTTCCGTGTGTCATATAAAATGGTAGTGGGACACCTGCAACTGCTGCTGCAAGCTCTTCAGAGTGGCACTACAGTTTGAAATGAGTGTGCAGTCCAATAAGGAACAGGTGGATCAGGATCTAAATTTAGAGAGACATAGAGTGGGTCTTATCCATATGAGAGGCATGGACTTTTAGAGAGAAGAGCTAATGCTTCCCAGTATAACTTAGTTTGCACAGTAAATTCACATAGGAAAATTTTGTAAATGATTAAGAAAATATTCCATAGCCTTGCAAGTCTGCCACAGACCTCAGATTTTAAAGTAGTAAATTAGCATAATGCTTCTGAAAGTTGTTAAGAGAATTCTGGATGATTAAATCTGTTATTCGCATGAAAATCAAACCCTTCCATCAGGACAACCTGGAGGAAGTGCCTTTTGCTTTCAAAAAGTCTGTCCCTATTATCTTATGTACCATTAGTTCCGTCCAACAATTATTTATGCACTTTAGTGTTGTGTTTAACAGGGAAATCTTATTGAATCAAGACAGAAATAACAGTGGCTGCTGTTGCTAACCCAGTACTTAATCTTGTATTGTTGTCTGAGGGCACAACCTTGTAATTAATCTTTTATTGCTGCCTGAGGGGAACAAGGCATAAATTACCTGGCACTCCATCTAGACCTGGGGAGCCTTTATCACCAGGATATCCTGATATATTTGAAATCCCAGGAGGCCCTGGAAATCCTTCCTGCCCAGGAAAAAAACCTTGGACTCCTGAAAGGAAAAGAAGAAATAATCAGTACTGCAAGGAAAATGCACAATTGGAATTATAAGGACTCACCTTAGACGAAGTATAAAGAATGGGATTTTCAAAATGGAAAACACCTGCAGTTCCTGCT